CAGCTCAACCCGGAAAAGATGTATGCTGCAAGAAGAGGGAGAAAATGGTGAGAAATTTGGAGAAGAACGAAATAACCTCAAGTACTTACCAAAACAAAACCACGAGGCCAGCGGAAATTGGGAATGGGGTCGCCACGATAACGGCGGTCGATCGATAGTTCGATCGATGGGAGCTAAAAAAATACTGGAAACATCGCTGGCCGGTCACACTGAATATGACGGCACCCTGAGGAGTGGCAACGCCACGATCGATAGACGAGTTATCGATTGTGCGCGGGGAAATTCTGCGCGGGAGACTTTTCAAATTTGAAACGAGGATCGGAAGGAGTCGCGCGCTGGGAGTTTTCGACAGCCAAGATGCCCTGGTCAAGAAGCCCAACGACGGGAAGTCTACATAAGCTGAGACTTAGGTGCTGAGGTTGGAGGAGCTCTCAGCCGTGGCAGGAGGAGGTCGACGAGGGAGTGGCAGCGGCCACAAGGATCAAGGAAGGATCGAGGTGCGCGCAAGGAGCCATGGAGGTCGAGACGCCGCAGTCGAGATGCCTTACTAAGCTGAGACTGTCCGGCTGAGATCCAGAGGGCCCTTGGCCGCACTCAGGAGTGGAGGTCGACGTGGGAAGGATGCAAATTGAGAACGTTTCCCCAGGACATTCCGGAGCCCGAAGCTTTTAAAAGTTTCCGAAGGAAGGGGGAGATGTAAGGGTTTGTATAAAACGCCTTACAAGTTTGAGTGCAGGAGAGCCGCATAGCAACAGCGGGATGCGCGGCATGCAGAGAAAAAGGGAAATAACGGTGCGAAGGACTTTGGACTTAATGCTGCGGTGAGTCTGCAGGCTTTGGACCCAATAACGGTGAGTCTGCGGACTTCGGACCCGCGCAAAGAGGAGAGACCGTGAACTAACGGTACCGGTCTGGACTTTGTACCCGTTATAGCGGTGAAGTTCTGGACTTTGTACCCGTTATAACGGTGAAGTTGGCGGACTTTGGACCAGCACAAAGAGGAGAGACCGTGAACTAACGGGATTTGTGCTGCCCTTTGGACCCGATCACGCCACTTGTCCTGCACTTTGGACCCAATCACGCCACCGAAGGAGGGAAATAACGGGACCAGGGTGGCATATAAAAGGAGGACGCGTGCAGGAAGCGAGACAGTCAAGTGAAGTCGTGCAGCGAGATCGTACCAACGCGAGTGAAACCCCAAGGAGAATACCAAGTGCCAAATAATCCGGAGTCAAGATCGCCGAGTCAAGAAGCCCAACGACGGTCACGTCTACATAAGCTGAGACTGCCAAGCTGAGATCCCGAGGGTACAAGGTAAGTTGTAGGGTGCGTCTACGAGTCTCGAAATCGAAAGGTACCCGGCGTCGGTTTCCCATGAAAGATTGAGAACCTGCTGAGGGCCAGGCCGACGAAGATCCAGTGGAGTTGTGCGAAAGGTACCCGGCGTCGGTTGCTCATGAGAGATTGAGGACCTGCTGAGGGCCAGGCCGACGAAGTCCCGACCGAACGCCGGGGTGGAGCGAAGAGTGGTGACTGCAGGCATCACTGCTTAGCCCCGCTAGGGAGGTTCTGCCTAACATCCTCCAAGGTTGTGAGAGGCTCGTAGCGTGCCTAATACGCGACCGGTGCCCGAAAGACTCGGCAAGGCAGAGGACGCACGACAGGCGTACCGCCGTAGAGTCGACGTGGGAGCCACTACCGGCGTCGACGAGGGAGATCGAGTCATCAAACAGCAGAACCACGAACCAAATATCGAGCTATAAATCTACGTACAATAAACCCAACAAGTATACCTAAATCTAACCTAACTCTGTGTTATACTTTGGTCTCGGGGTTACGCATCAATAAATTTGGTGGGACGAACACACAAACTCATCTGAGCTAGCCGCACGTTCACGTAGCGAGCGGAGAAATAAAAGCAGTTCGTTACAACAGATGCAAGCAATTATGCATTAGGTGCCATACTATCCCAAGAGGGTAAACCCATTTGTTTTGCCAGTAGAACATTAAATGAACATGAGTTAAATTATGCAGCTATTGAAAAATAATTATTACCTATTGTCTGGGAGCCTAAGTATTTCCGCCCCTATCTCTTTGGAAGAAGTTTTAAAATATGTTCTGACCATAAACCGCTAGTTTGGTTACACAATATAAAAGAACCTAATATGAAATTGCAACGTTGGAAAATCAAACTTAGAGAGTTTGATTATGAAATAAAGTACATTAAAGGAAAAGAGAATTACGTAGCAGACGCTTTGTCAAGGATTACAAAGAAGGAAGCTAAAGACAGTAAAATTGAAGAAGTATTTCAAAATGAAGACAATGTAGATACTACTGCAGCAACGGTGCATAGTGCACAAGAAGATAATGGTGATTGCATTAAAATTACTGAACGACCAGTTAACGTTTTTAATCACCAACTTATATTTGAAAAGGGAAATCAAGACTCTAACGAACTAACTCACTACCTTAACAAAACTATAAATAAAATAATTTACAGTGACATGACTGAAACTTTGGCGAAAGACATAATTATAAAATTTTTATGTGGGCACAATTTTGTTATCTATGTTAAAAATCCTTCTTTCCGATTTTGGTGATGTTGTGGGAATGTATTACCACCTGCAAGCGACTATTCCCTTGATAGGCTCATTAGCTTCGTTTATCATTAACAATACTAAACATAAAAATTAACATTTTATTCCTCTGTTTTTCTTTTTAAAATTTTATTTGTGATGTTTAATTATGAACTTCATAACATCGGCAACATCGAAGTTTACCGGGGCAACATCGATGTTTTTCCATCTCTAATCTCTAAGGCGCAAAAAGGAAGATTGACACATTATAAGTACATATATCATTTAATTTCATTATAAATCATTTGCAGAATATTGTTATTTTAGTTATACTTGTGGGTGGTGTTGGCGTGAGTGGTGGGAGTAAAACATGGACAGATTTTGCATACATAGGACAGTAAGGACATACATAGGACAGTAAGTTAGAATAGTTCATTAGGTGGCACTACAACCCGATTCGGGTTTTGGCCGACCTCAGCGTCTCCCTCCAGGCGCCTCTGCTCCTTGCGCGCCTCCAATCGGAAATACCCAGTGCAGTCAGGTTCTCCTCCACTTGGTCCTTCCATCGAAGCTTTGGTCGTCCCCGTCGTCGTCGCCCGTAGTCGACCCTCGCTTCAAATACATACCTTCTGAGCTTGAGATTTTTTATCCATACGCACAACGTGGCCGAGCCAGCGCAGACGTTGTATCGTGATGCGCCGGACCACGTCCACGTCGTCGTACAACTCGTACAGCTCGTGGTTCATCCGAATGTGAAAGTCGTCCCCAATCCGAACGGGCCTTTTTCGTTTTGCGGTGGAATCTTATCCGAGGCTTTCGCTTTGGTCTTCACTGGGCTTCTTTTTTTACGAGGCGGGTTCCAAACCCTGCGCTCAACCATTTAACGTCCGGGTGACTCGCTGCACACATTAAATCACTATCTAGCGGATGCTAAGATAGCTACCCAGGAGGTGCCACGATGAGGCTGTGTCTCAACTTGCAATCATTCGAAAACAGAAATCGCACTGGCGGGCACCAAGTTGACCGCGATCGGAAAACTTTACTCTGTACGAATGAAAGCCATCCCAACCCAGTGAGTTAGTATAGTACGGATAGAAAAGTATGGGTTGTATAGTAGGGATAGTAAATAAAGAAGTGTTATTTAACTTGTACTATGTATATACTGAACAATTTTGGTTTTTTTTTTTGTCTCTCTTTTTTCTTTATTTAAAATGTTAAATTAAATGTTTTAAAATTTGATTTTTATTTTTAAGCATTACAATTAAAAAAAAAAAAAAGTCCAACTACACTACAAAAAACTGCTAATTTTTGTATTAAAAACATCGATGAAAAACATCGATGTTTTTCGTAAAAAACATCGAAAACATCGATGTCCTTGAACATCGATGTTTCTCCACCTCTATTATGAAGCCACCTTCTCTTTTTAGGTTCAATATGTGCTTTTAAAAATGAAAGCATGCTAGAACTGGAAAATCATCGATGTTCCAATGTTTTTAAAAAAAAAAAAAACATCGATGTATCACGATGCATTGAATTATTTTAGGGGCTTATTAAAAAAGTTTTTACTTCAAATCATATTATAATTCATATAATATTATAACAATATATTATATTTATATATATATATATATAAGTTATGGCCAGACATGACCAGTAGTTATGGCCTGACATGACCAGTAGTTATGGCCTGACATGACCAGTAGGGGAAGTATTCCCCTGAATATTACCTAATGAGCGTTATCTGCATCCTTGTGGTCCTTGCTTTCTTCGTCCTTCCTTCTATGTCTTGAATTTTTGTTGTATGAGTTTAAATTAAACAATATGAGCTTTAACGTTATAAATCGTTTATTCGTGCACCAATCGTCAACTTGCTGCTTTGGGGGTACAAATAGAAGTGATCTTAAAATATAATTAGCGTGGCTTGTTGACTGCATAAGCTGGCAGAGCGGTTGCCGTAATCCGATGCTGACAACAGCGGTTCTGGGCCAAAGTGTTGCCATACTCCAGGTGCTAGCGTTGTATTTCCGTTTGTGGGCTGGGGTATGGTTGAGACAGCTAGCGATCGGTCAGTGCTTCCGGATATTTGGGCTGACGTGTTGCTAAACTTCGAATGATATTCGATTAGCCACTGGGGATTGGAAGGGGAAGCGGCAGCTATTGTTGAGGCAGCTAGCGGCGGTCACTGCTCCTCCGTTCTCACGTTACTGCCGTTGCAATTCTGGCGTTCTGTCGTTACACTGTCGTTCTGCCGCTGTCGTTTGGTCTCTGCTGCGTCTCTGCTGGTCGTCAAGTTGGTTGAGGGAAGTCGTGGTGTCTGGTATCCGGGTCGAGAGGCGATGAGGAGAAGGGGGCGCTTGGCCGGTGTTAACTCCTCCCCACCACAAGATCTGTGTCCCACAGATTATTAGGCTTTTATTGCGGGTTCTAGGGTATCCTGCGCTTCCAGGTTTGTAGGTCCCGCAGTTTAGGGATTTCTTTGGTCGACGTTATCTTCTTCCAAACGAGGTACACCGTTGTCATTATGGAGAGAGCTATGACTATTTCCACTGAGAAGGATATCAAAATCTCATCGGACATGACTGATAACTTCTTCAGGTTCTCCATGCTGAATTCATGGACATATTTTAATGATAGCACATAACCCGTTGTCTTCACCTGTGTTAGCACGGCGGGCATTGCCATAAGGTGTGTTGATGAGTAGCTGCTGTAATTCCGGTCACCGATTGTGATCGTTTCGTTGTCGAATTGTATGACGTACGAGCCCTCTAGTTGGTAATTCTTGGCTGGTGTGGATATGGTTCCATTAAAGTTGGTTAAAAAGAGTGTGCCGTCATCGATCAGATCTACCGTTTCCTGGTTGGTCCTTAGATAATCGCATTCCGCTTGTCCTCCTTTCAACAGTCTAGGTATGCAACTGTCCTCCTCCAATTTGAACAGATCCTTTTCTCGGCAGACTGTTGTGTTACCAATAGATATGCAGTTTCCGAGGAGGGCGTATGTTTCCAAGCGGTCCATCGCCAGTGTACTGTACTTCAAAACGACTTGCTTCCCATCGGATATCGTTGGGTAGATCCTCATCAATCTGTACTTCCTGTTCACTACCTTGGGCATCGCCAAGATGTACAGAAAAGCCGTCCCGTTTGTGAGGATTGTATAGGCTTGGAAAATTCGACTGCCTCAACGACGTTTTGATAAGGGAGGCTGTCCACTTCCGCCAGTATCATGTCGACCTCGTCGTGGTCCAGGAGCCCTCAGTATCTCGTCCACTTGATCCGCTATTATAATAGCCTTGTGGAGAATGGCCGTTGTCACGTGGAAATCCCCATCTAATGCGTTGACTCTCCCGATAACGTCGTTCAACTTCTGGAGCGACTCTTGTGTTGTGTCAAACAACCCAGTGTTGATACGAATTTGCTGATTGTTGTTTCTTGCCAAGCTGTCCTCCTCTTTCAGGATGGCGTTCCAATCCGATTTGTCCGGTGATCCCGCGACCCACTTCCATGCTGATCCTAGCCAGTCGATTGAGCGTTGTCTTCGTACCGGTGCGCTAACCATGCGCGAGATTCCCTCTGAAGCATGTTCCAGATAGTGGGCAACCAGTGCGTTGATACGTTGGTCGGTTACTACCATAGCCTCGTTTGCCACCTGGTCGATGAGTTGCTGCATGTGCCCTAGATTGATGACGTGCGCCAGTTTGAAAACGCCATTGGTCCTCCAGACGGTACCTTGTTGTAAGGGGACAACTGGTGCATCATATTTGAAAATATGGATGGTTGTCGCCACGTAGATTGTGGACGCACTTGTAACGTCGGGAGGGGATTTAATGCACATAAAATTGTAGATTCTTATAATAAAATAGTTTCTTTGTCTTAACACTAATGTTTGTGTTGGTGTTTCTTGTATTCCGTTGTTACTATTCGTATATTCTTATTACTAAAAAAAAATTTTTATTTGGTGTGGCTTAATACTATTCCGATTAAATGTTATCCTGTTCCCAGTGGTGGCCCAAAAAAGAATTTTATTTGGTGTGGTTTAATATTATTCTGATTAAATGTTCCCCTGTTATGAGAGGTTTTTGTTTTATTAAATGTTTGATTAAATGTCCCCCTGTTATGAGAGGTTTTTGTTTTTTTAAATGTTTAACTTAAATTAGGGTTGAATTGTCTTTGCTTATGTCTTTTTTTTATTTATTTGTATTTACTTGTTTGTGTCTGAAGGAGGTTATGAGTTAGTGAAACGTTCGGTGCACACTTTAATTTTGGACAAGTTTTAATATTTTGAGGGTTTTTGATATCCTGTTGCCAGTCTTCCCTGCCGAGAAAACAAAAACTACATGTGTTGGTCACAAAATTAACTTCTTAGATGGGACTTATGAAAGATTTTTCCCGACCTTGTTTTGATAGTGACCCTTCGGTCATCTTCAACCTCCTCTGCCTTAAATCGTTGCTTTTCCTTGGTTTTAATCTGTTTGTTGGCGACATACACGGTGTCACCTTGTTCATAGGAAATTGGGTCGCCTCTATTTTTATTGCGCCCATTATTGGTTAAGATTTGTTTGTGTTCAATGAGGCCTCGAATGTCCTCTAGAGTTTGCTGTTTAAAATTAGATAGGCCCTGGTAGTTTATCCTAGAAGTCCGGTTAAAAAAAATGTCAACTGGTTTTTTATTTGTCACCGAGTGAACGGAGTTATTGTACCTATCTACGACAATTGGGATAAGCTCGGTTGCTTTAAAGGATGGATACTCGCCTTTTAGGCATCGAAATATCTCCATGAAGGTAGAATGGAATCTTTCTACCTGACCGTTTACTTCGCTCTTCTGAGTTGGGGAATGATAGAGCTCAATTTCCAATGTTCGCAAGTAGTTCAGGACAGTTGGGCATAGAAGGCCTCTTTCGTTATCAGTTACTATCATTCTAGGCGCCGTGAAGTAATGAAGTGTGTCCAATAGTGTTTCACGAAGATGGATTGCTGATTTCGATTGTAAGGGGAAAAGTTTAGCAAATTTAGAAAATTTGTCGATGCAACTGAGGTATATTTTTTTCTCCAGTGTGAAAACGTCGATATGAAGTATCTCACATGGGTAGTTAGGTATAGGGGTTGGCTGCAGTGGTGGTTTATTTGGGTGCCTGTCATACTTGTGCAATTTGCAAGTGGCACAGGTCGACAGTTGCGAGCGAATAATATTAGCCATCCGTGGGAAATAGTACTTCTCTAGTATCTGAATACGGACCTCTTTTGAATTTCTATGCGCTCTGCAATGCTCTTTTTCGATGACTTCGCAAATTTGCTTTTCATCCGTAATATCCTGTACTAAGCGCTGTGTTATGCGGATTTTGAACGATTTAAAATTTTGGAAGCAACAGGTTTGAAGGGGTTGTAGGTAATCGTCCGGAATTTTAATCCCATTGATTACCGAAGGTTTCAAGTACTTTTGTAGTGAGTTTAGAAGGTTTGAAGATGAACAGTAGTTAATTGGAATTAAGTGACGCACGTATCCGGCATGCGGGCGTTCACATGAATAATCGGTCTGGTCCGGATGAAAAATCAATTGATTTCGGTAGGCATTAATCGGTGCTTCAACGTGGGGAATTAAATGAGATGCGTCTTGAAGAGCGCTATGAATTGTAGCTATAGAATCTGTCTCAGAGGCGGTTTCAGTGCCAGAGCCCAGATGATTAACATACGTTGTAACTCTTGAAAGGGCATCGGCCACTATATTAGACTTCCCCGGTTTGTATATTAATTCGCAATTGTATTCCTCAATACGGGACTTCCACCGTTTTAACTTTGCGTTAAAATTTCTATTGCCTAGTGCAAATGTTACAGGCTGGTGATCGGTGTAAATCTTAATGGATCCAGCACCATACAAATAAGACCGAAGATTATCTAAGGCCCACACTATGGCGAGCATTTCCTTTTCATTGGTGGCATAGTTTTCTTCCGTCTGAGTCAAAGATCGGGAGATATACGCTATTGGCCGATCTTTGCCTGCGTCTACTTGAGAAAGGACTGCCCCTATAGCGTAATTTGACGCGTCTGTGGTTAAGTGAAAGGGTTTAGAAAAATTTGGGAATGCCAAAACCTCTGAGGAAGAAAGGATAGATTTTAAATCATTGAAGGCTTTCATCGCGACCTCGTCGAGTTCAATGGGAACTTTCTTTGACTGTGACGACTTAACTCTAGCGAACTCTCCTCGAGTCAAATTAGTCAGTGGTTTCGCGACTTTTGCGTAATCCTTAATAAATTTTCTATAGTAAGAAGTCATGCCGAGGAAACTCTTCAGCTCTTTTACATTGGTAGGTGGTTTCATTTTTGTGACACCCTCTACCTTTTTCTCGTCTGCTTTGATACCATCTGCAGTTACTACATATCCTAAGAATTCAACATGAGTTGATAGGAAATTAGTTTTCTCTAAGTTGACCTGCAGCCGGCCTTTCTCCAGGCTGTTGAAGACAGCGCGAAGATTTTTCCAGTGGGTATCATAGTCCTCACTGAAGACTATTATGTCGTCGATGTACACATAGCAAATTTTGCCAATGTGTTCCCGTAACACATCGTCGATCATTCTTTGAAACACCGCTGGGGCATTTTTCAAACCAAACGGAAGGCGAAGAAATTCGTACTTCCCATTCAATGTAGAGAATGCTGTTTTTGGGGTATCAGACTCCAACATGTAAATCTGATGGAATCCCGAGGTTAAATCGAGAGTAGTGAAATATTTGGCTTTCCCTAGACTTGCCAAAATGGAATTTATGTCCGGTATCGGATAAGTATCTGCAATCGTGACGGCGTTCAAGCGGTTTAAAGTCGATGACCATGCGGTATTGTTTCTCTCCGTTCGGTTTGGGTTTCTTTGGTACTACCCAGACCGAGGAGTTATAGGGACTTTTAGATGGTTTGATGATCCCATTCCGCAAGAGTTCCTCTATCTGTCTATCCACTTCCCCTCTCATGTTGGTAGGGTAGGGATAGCTCTTTGTGTATATAGGGTCTGAGGTGCTTGTGCGAATCTCAGCCCTAACGCTCGTGTCTACGGCCTCTCCATGTGAGAGTGGCTTGAAGATTTTGGAATATTCTCTTATAAGCGCGTTTAAAGATTCCTTGGCAGACTCAGGGTGTTTTTTATCTAACAACAGGTGTACATTCAGGGATTTTTTAGCAAGAAGGGGTATCTTAATATCGGGTGATATTGTCAAAAGGTCGTTTTTCCTGTCGATCAGGGCTTTTAAAGTTCTTAGGGTGTCGTCTCCAATGATGCCGTCAAATGATGTTAGTCCGGGAAGGACAAAAAAGGTGAGAACGGTATCGTTCCCAATCGGCTTAAAAAATTGTCCAGTGGTACAATGTGTTATTCTTATATTACCCCCCGCGGACTGAACGACAAACGGTGTTGGTAATGCTATAGAGCCGGCGGAGTTCTTGGGGCTTATAAAATTGTTGTTAGCGCCGGTGTCTATAAGAAATTGCAATTTGGCCCCTGATTTAGTCCCATACTCTATGTATGGTATACTAGAGAGGCGTCGGTCATAAAATTTTGTTCACTATTGCCAATACACTGTATCTCCTCCAAGGGAGAACACTGTTCTACTCCTTGCGGTGAGTGTTCCAGCTCCTCCCCCTCATTATTAGAATGTCGTTGATACCATTCATTGGGAACGGGGTCTGATGATGGAGTGGATTGGATATGGTAAAGCCTTTGAGCTTTACGGAAGGGATTCAAAATGGAGTTAGTGCTCGGGCTTCGTTTGATGCCGCTGGCCTCTCCTTGACGCGAGTTAAAATTTGACCTATAACTTTGGCCCGATTGGTTTGACTCGTGCTTGATTGCTGCTCTAGCCCCCTGATATCTTGGAGGGCTCTGTGCGCTTCCGCTTGGAGCAAAGTTGTTTCCTGCGTTCGTTTGAACCCTATGGTTCGAATGATTATCGTTAAACTGATGCGTTTGGGGATACCTTGGTGCAATAGAAGGTCTATAATTCTGGTGACTTTGGCTAAAGGTCTGTTTAAAGAAAGGCGCCCTTGGCGCAGGGTTCCTCAGTTCCATCTTTTGTAATTCTAGACAAATAGAGTAGGCCTCGTGGACATCCGCAGGCTTACGGATTATCAGTAGCCTAGAAGCGTCACCGCTTACCCCCTAATAAAGGCATTAAGAGCTTTGTCCCTTTGACCGGCAAGAAAATCATTGGTTATCTCCGTAGAATAATTCATGCTTTTAATTTTGTTCATTATAAGCGAGACATGATTACTGATCCTGAGGTAGAAGTCGTCCAGTTTTTGGTTTCCCTGGGTCAATTGAGCTAGCTCGTACTCTAGCGTACCGACATCTCGTTTATCGGCAAAGTGTAATGCCAATACACGTTTGACCTCTGGCCAATCGTCCTCCCGCACATTGTAGGCGTTGAGTGCCATGTCGGCGCTGCCCCTAATTTTTTGTCTAATCTGAATAAGGACTGACCTATACAGGGGTTTTTCCCGAACGACCTCGAAATCATTAACAATGGATTGAGCCCTATTAATCCAAGAATTGTATTTCTCGGAATCTCCCTCGAAAGTCAGAAGCTCCCTTACGCAGTCCGGTACGGCCGAAGATTCCTTAAGTTCGTACTCCGTACGTGGACGCGATAGTGGTAGCGGTATTTCCGGTACCGGGTTGCGCCGCTCGAAGTCAGTTTCTAAAATGTTCACTCTATTCCCTTTTTTCCTAACCTCTTCCTTTATGCCCACCATCTGAGTGGTCAAGGCCGTTATGGTAGCATCAAGACGGTTCAAAACTTCTTTCATTTCCTCCATTTTTAAAGTTAAATTTCCTTAGGAGTGTTTACTTTATTTTACTTTGGATCGTAGCAGGGGATTTAGCAACAGTTTTCTTTTTTTTTTTTTAAATTTGTTATATAAGTTTATATTTTAATTTAATTTATTTTATTTTTTTGTAAATTCGTATTACAAAATGTATATGGGAACGTTTCACTTACCCTCAGTATTTTCCTCCTTTATTCAGTTTGTGTTGTTTCAATGTTTATCCGTTTTCTTTCTTACAGGATTATTATTCTGAAATTAGATTAGAATTAGTAAGTGGTTTACTCTTTTGTTCATAATAAAAGAAACTTGGTAATTTTTCATTAGAGCGTTGTGCGCTTTTTATTAAATTTCGTGTATTATCTCTTTGTTAATTTTGTCTAATTGTGTTTATCGGCGCGGTGGTCCGTATTTATCCATTTTGGCATTTCGCCTACTAAGGTACGGTTGCCACACAATCCACTGGGCAGCTTTTTTTTTTGAATGCATTCCACATCCGTTAGCCTTTCCAGCAGATTGCCACTCACACGAAACATTTCACAAATTCTCCGTTTATCTTCAAAATATGTTTATAATCTTTCCGCTCGCAAATTAATTGCCGCAGCGGTTATCCGTGTTTATTTAATTATAATTGCAATTTTTACACTCGCGAATAAGCTACCCAATGGTGTGGACTTATCGCCGCAGCGGATTATCGCTTCCTTTTCTTAATATTACTTAGTGTCTTGTGCCCGCGAATATGCCGCGTCACAGGATACGTGGGCAGATCGCCGCGGCAGGTACTAAGTTATTCACAATTTTTTTGCGCCCGTGGGGAGTGCCAGCTCCAAATGGCAGCATCCTCACCGCAGCGGGTAATTGTGGTTCACAACAAATTTTTATACTTCCATTTACACTTTCTACACGCACACGCACAACGCTTTTTATTAAAACATTTTACTTTTTAATTATTAACGAAATTTTCACAATTTTTTCTTTTCTTTTTGTTTGTCGGGTGGTTCTTGGGTCCCACTTTCGAGAGAAAGTGAAATCTGTTCGGGCGCCAGTTATGGCCAGACATGACCAGTAGTTATGGCCTGACATGACCAGTAGGGGAAGTATTCCCCTGAATATTACCTAATGAGCGTTATCTGCATCCTTGTGGTCCTTGCTTTCTTCGTCCTTCCTTCTATGTCTTGAATTTTTGTTGTATGAGTTTAAATTAAACAATATGAGCTTTAACGTTATAAATCGTTTATTCGTGCACCAATCGTCAACTTGCTGCTTTGGGGGTACAAATAGAAGTGATCTTAAAATATAATTAGCGTGGCTTGTTGACTGCATAAGCTGGCAGAGCGGTTGCCGCAATCCGATGCTGACAAGAGCGGTTCTGGGCCAAAGTGTTGCCATACTCCAGGTGCTAGCGTTGTATTTCCGTTTGTGGGCTGGGGTATGGTTGAGACAGCTAGCGATCGGTCAGTGCCCTTCCATTGTCGCGCTGCTGATAGCAGCGCTTCCGGATATTTGGGCTGACGTGTTGCTAAACTTCGAATGATATTCGATTAGCCACTGGGGATCGGAAGGGGTAACGGCAGCTATTGTTGAGGCAGCTAGCGGCGGTCACTGCTCCTCCATTCTCACGTTACTGCCGTTGCAATTCTGGCGTTCTGTCGTTACACTGTCGTTTTGCCGCTGTCGTTTGGTCTCTGCTGCGTCTCTGCTGGTCGTCAAGTTGGTTGAGGGAAGTCGTGGTGTCTGGTATCCGGGTCGAGAGGCGATGAGGAGAAGGGGGCGCTTGGCCGGTGTTAACTTATATATTTATTACAAGTAAACAAATCAAGTCTGTCAAAGTTCTTTATAGAAGATTACGTTTAGTTTGAGACCCATAACTTTGTTTAATATTTTTTTTTTAATTCAAAATACAACTGAAAACTGCTCTTTCATTTAGCACAGAGCTTAAAACTAAAAAACGATTCAATTAAAACAAAAATAAAAAACATCAACGAGTTCTACTCAAAAAAAGAACATTGAAAAAGGAAAATTAAAATTAAATTATCCAATCAATTTGGTTCAGAAAAAAATTATGCTCTAATTTTTTTGTTTTAGCGAGCTTCGCTTTTCGCTAAAAAGAATTCCTGCTTTACTCCTTACTAATCACCTTCAGTAGAGGTGTTCGGTGTTCATGTATTGATATCTGTCGACAGAAAAATTCGGATTTTTAAGTTGGTTATCATTTAAATTTTAATTTTATTTACCTTCCAATAATCCAAATGCTTTTTGAAGGCTCCAAATTATTTAACTGATAAACATTTTTATTGCGCTTACCATGATTTGTTTACCAGACGTGTAGTGATCGGTAAAGAGAAAACATCGAATATCGAGTTTAAAGCCTCGATGTTTCCCGAATTTTAGAAAACATCGATGTACCGATACATTTCCGATGTTTTTTCCAGCTCAAATTTCAAGATGTCTCTTTGGATTTTTGGCAAACACAGTATTTTTAATAATAATCTTCCCTAGTTTACTCAGGCGATTCATCAAGAACGAAAAGATATATATATATATATATCCTATGCTTTACATATAGCAAAAGCGCAATCTCACAAATTTCTAAAATCCCAATCACGTCGCTGAGATAACGGATTCTAATACCTTATGCCAACAAAGCACTTAAAGTGTTTGCAAATTGAGGCTAGTGTAAATGTAAAAAAATATATAATACCAAACTAGGTTGTCCCTGCATCTTGAGGCTTTATATTGTGTTTAATTTTTGTAAAACAGCTTTTTAATAGCAATAGAGAAGCTAGGTCAGGGGTGTATGTTCAAATTTTTGGCAATTTAGATTTTATTCAAACGGAATTCATGCGTTATACCGTTTAATGAGCATGGTTTTGTTAGAATGTAAATATGAACGGGCTATTATCGTATCTCTGTTAGCTTATGTGCTCATTTTTCATCGATATATCGAAATGAACTGGTCGTGTGCTAATATGTAATACATTTGCTCTCATAAAAACATAGAAGGGCCTCAAATACTGTCTTAAAAATGGAAGAATACGCTCGAGAACCTTGCCCATATAGAATTGTAGACGATTGTGGTGGTGCTTTTGCTATGGGGTGCATTGGAGGCGGCGTATTTCAAGCAATCAAAGGATTTCGTAATGCCCCTTCTGGCATTCACAGAAGATTGGTATGTTAAGTACTATTTTACGGTTAGAGATAATATAAGATATTAACCATTAGATAAAGATTCTGCAATGGTCCGAAGGTTTAACACCTTGAATGTTACATGTGTTCCCATATAAAGTATAAAACGGTTTCTTGAGAAAAACACAAGGCGAGTCGATATATGTATGTACATATGTATGTACATTCACATGTGCATATGTACATATGTAGATACAGTGAGGAATATAATTATTGGCACAGATGGCTTGCTAAACTTTGGGGCTCAGTTTCTCTCCTTAATATGGGGATATTTTAATAAAACAACATTTTTTTTATATAATATAACTAGCTGACCTGGCAAAAGTTGGGTAAATGTTTACAAGTGCGGTGCACGGTAAATACAGCATAAAAAAATAAAGTCAAATATGGAAACGATGTGTTTTTTTCTAAAACTTCGAAATCCGTTGGCGGAGAGTGAAAATTTTGCGGTAAAATTGCGCTTTAGCGGCTTTTGCTAAAAATGGTCTAGGAATTTTTTTTTTTTTTTAATGGATACCTTGGGGCCGAAACCTTAATAAAAAAGTGGCGGAAAGCTTGATTTCTAAGTATTTATTTGTAAAAATAGCAAAAAAGCAACTGGCCATAGCTTTTCTGGGTATTCACTCAGTACTATAAAATCACTCTGAGTCATTTCGCAACCTTTACAGCGTTCAGTAGTAAAATTGGCAGTGCCTGACATGGTAAAATTGTTAAATTTCTTTTGTTTTTAAATTTTCACACAATTGCAGCACTCTTCATCCACAACACATTCTCAACGGTAAATTTTTTCGCTAGAAAAACATGGCAATGTTCTAAAACGGGTTGCCTCGCGGCAGTAATAATTGCAATTTTAACACATAAATAATTAAAATTTAAGCTTTCCGCCACTTTTTTATTAATGTTTAGGCCCCAAGGTATCCATTAAAAAAAAAAAAAAAATTCCTAGACCATTTTTAGCAAAAGCCGCTAAAGCGCAATTTTACCCTTTTTTATTAATGTTTAGGCCCCAAGGTATCCATTAAAAAAAAAAAAAAATTCCTAGACCATTTTTAGCAAAAGCCGCTAAAGCGCAATTTTACCAATTTTGCACCGTTTTTTTGTTATTAACAATTAAAGATGCGATTTGTAGTACAAATTCGGATCTGAGTGACCGTATTTGCATGTGATGTGCCGATTATTGCAGTCGTCTGGTGGCGGATAATTGCAAAAACGGTTATAACTTTTTTAAATAACAATGTATATTTCTGGTTCAGGCCATAGCCTGGCATCTAAAGAAAAATGCCGTTTGGTTCAAATTGATAAATGCAATAGTTTTGAAATGAGTGTCACCCATGCGAAAAAAAGTGTTTCGGAGAAAAATCAGTTAAAAGTTTTTAAAGCTGCAGACGTAGTGCGCGCTGAGACGAAGATTAAGATGAAGTCGAAAAACAGTGAAAAACAATTTATATGAATTCGCTCGTCCGCAAAGCCGAAGACGATACGCAAGCAATCAGCTTCAAACGGTTCAGTACTGTTTTTGAAGACGAATCGCTTGCTATTTTGCCTTTGTTATTATTTCTCTCTCTTTCTACCCATGCTTTGGCGCAGCGCATGTTACAATTCACACAGGTATAATTGGGGTTTTGTTAAAGTTTGTCTAATTTTTAATAATTAGCGGTTCAATTTTCAACAGAATGTAATCAAATGTGTTGATTTTCATTCTGGTGTACTCCACAACTTTTTTTTCATCTTTACGCAGCTCATTAAATAAATGATGAAATTCGCCAAACGCTTTTCTACCTAAATTAATTGGGTGAATTCTTTCATTCACTTTTTTGTTGCATTTTAATTTAAAAAATAAACTTTCCTCCAACAGCAGCTTATCTGATGAGAAATTCATTGCGACTAACATCCCAAAATCGCAAAAATTCGACTTGCACTATGCAACCTATTAGCTTGCTAGCAACGCAAACAAATTGTGATTCTGGGAACCCTTGCCATTTTTGATGGCACCAAGTGTTGGCAAGTGTGTAAAGTCCGCCAAATGGTGATTTAGACACTTTGTTGCCATCATAATGAACCAAACCGGCACAGGACATGGTGAAACGTTTCACTGTGTTTTTTGGAGCCTTTTATAGTTTTTTTTTTTTTTATAGTCTTTATCTGTCAAAAAATGGCGTACATTCTGGAGTGCCGATCCACGGCTCATTTTAGTTCCATTTAATCAAATAATAGCACCAGGGAGAAAAAATAAACGTTTAAAACAAACTGCGCACTGTATACACGTGATAACTGACAACTGTCCTATCCAAATGACACGATTTTTAGCATGCAAAAAACCATGCAGCAGTGCAAAAACTCAAATAAAAAAGTGGAGAAAGCAATAATAAAACAAGAAAGGAAGCTAGCTTCGGCAAGCCCAAGCTTATATACCCTTGCAGTCATCAAACATGTCGAACAAAATACATAAAGGCTAACAACATTGAAGCTATGACGACTTTTCTATTAATTTTTCATATTGTTCATATGGCAGCTATATGATATAGTTGTCCGATTTTTATGAATTTTTTTCTCGGTTCAAGGGTAGTCCATAAAGTCGATGTTGTAAAAATCATGCTCGTGGAATAAAAAACAACAACGTTATGATTATTTTGCCATTATTTCTATATATATTTTTTGTTCTTTCCTATTTCAGCTATATGATAGAATTATCCGATTTTGATAAAATTTTATTCAAAATTCAATAGTAATTAAACGCCATCTGGAAGAAATCAAGTCAATATATAGTCGGCCGATCCTGCTCGTTCAATAACTTAGTTTGAAGAGAAACGGACAGACAGACAGACGGGCAGACGTACATACGTATTTGGATTCTGATCGTGATGCTGATCAAGAATATACATACTTTATGGGGTCTGAGGTGTCTCCTTCACTGCGTTGCAAACTTCTGACTAAAATTATAATACCCTTTGCTCTGCAAGGGTATAAATATATGAAGAGAAACGCTTCAGTAGTTTTTCGCCAATCCATATCACCGCATAATCATTTTGCAAAACACCATTTCGAGATATTCGCGTTTGAAGTTTCAAGTTTAGTTTATGCGAAGATAAAAGCTAGGTTAGCTAGGGGCGGTGTAACTTTCTACTGCTCAAATCTTTATGAAAATTTGGGAATATGTTTTCAAGAAGTTGTTCTTCAAGATAAAGCAATACAAAAATTTACAATTTTTTGAAAATAAAACAGGTATATAACCCCCTAAGAGAATATTGTATTGCGTTGAAAGATACCTTTCGCCTTGCCTCAATTTAAGGGCACCACAAGTAGTATAATATATATATTTCAAAATAGTGTATATGTATATTCAAAAACACAAGTTGGAGCACGAAAGGTCTTTTTTTTTTACGAACATCAGATGTAAGTCGGATCTCTATATTTTTCAGAAGAATAATCGTGTCATCGGCTGCGCAGCTGCGCTTTCGGGATGCCGGCAGCTCACATACTATCAGCTTGGTCACGCATGCCATTGATGTCATATAAACAATCGTCGAAAATATAAAAACTTAATAGAAAAATCGACATAGCTTCGATGTTGTTTAGCCTTTATGTACTTTGCATGGTACAATTATACAAGGTAGTCCCGTCGGCTGCAGAATTGTTCGGGTTCACTCCCCTATCGACCAGTACGCTCGGGTTTTCGTAGAGAGAGGTTGTGCGCGGACTAAATTTTTCTGAAAACATTAACCCTTGTGTGCTTATGAAAAATACTTGTTGCAATTATTGCAGCAAGCACATACAATGCGTAACATGTAATATTGCACAGAAATTTTTTGAAAGGGTAACACTATGGGAGCGAGTCCTAAAGGGCAGCTCTGGGTAAAAACCAAAAATTACGGAACAATTAATACTCATTGTCATATAACAGTCTTTTAAAACCCTATGCACAGTATATGGGTTAAACAACACACTCTGTTTCTGTTTCTTTCGCACTTATGAGAAAACAACCTCTCTCTCGCACTCATTGTAGTGTCCAATAGGGGAGTGAAGCAGCCGACGGGACTACCTTGTATAATTGTACCATGGTACTTTGTACTTCGGCTTGCCGGAGCTAGCTTCATTTCTTTTTTTTATGTGAAAGAATTGCTTGGTGTACATATCAATTTTAACTGAAAGCTAAATTAATTTTCGTTCTTGGCTTCACTTAAAAATTTAATTCTTTATAGATCGGAAGTATAATTGCCATAAAAACTCGTTCACCCGTCATAGCTGGAAATTTTGCTGTGTGGGGTGGGATGTTCAGCACTATTGATTGCACACTCGTCCAATTTCGAAAAAAGGAAGATCCTTGGAATTCAATAATAAGTGGAGCCGCAACTGGAGGTATATTAGCTGCAAGAAATGGTAAGCATAATACAATAATCTAGATTAATATACAATAGAAAAAGACATCTAAAAAACAGAAAGAAACTTCAGAAACGCGTACTAAGGGAGATTTAATGGCTTTTCAATCGCGATGTCTCTGTTATAAAGTTTTTTAAACTTATTTTAAAATTACTGAAGATTTTAGCATTTAAATTTCTTTTAAAATTCGTCCCCATTCTACATTTTTACTATTTTTTTCGTACGGTAAGGTTTTAAAGGCCAAAAAAAAGGGTTATATTTGTTTTTTTTTTTGCGGCGAAATGAGTAAGTCGGTCAGAAGTTTGCAACGCATTGAAGGAGACACCTCAGACCCCATAAAGAATATATATTCTTGATCAGCATCACGATCAGAATCAAAATACGTCTGTACGTCTGTACGTCTGTACGTCTGTCCGTCTGTCTGTTTCTCTTCAAACTAGTCTCTCAGTTTTATGGGGTTATATCCAGTTGCGAGGCCGAAAAAATGAGCTTTTTTGTAAATTATTTCTGGAGAGCCTTTTTATTGTATATATACGTGTTGTATATGAAAAGTTAGATAATTTATTGTGGTTTCAGAATACATTTTCAAAAAAAAAAAAAAAAAAATTGGATTCCGTCGAACCTGTAGAGGATCTTCTGAGGGTCCACTTAAAAAAGGTGTTTTGCGGTGGGGAAGATATCTCTGATCCAAATTATCAAAAATACAAAAAACCAAAAGGATTACATAAAGAATAGACAAATACTGGTAATGATGCGGGGAATTTACAAAATTTTGATTTTAGACAAAATGGCGGCTTCCCAAACATAGAACTTCGTTTTTGGCACAAAAATTTAAACTTTGAAGTGACTAAAAAAATAAATTTTTGGCGGAGCCGAAATTCCCCGCGTCATTACCTGAAAAAAATATCTAAGAAGAGCCTGTGAAAATTTCAATTCAATCGGTCAAGCCGTCTCGGAGAAATTTTCCTCACCGACTTTGAAGACATCGTTTCGAGAAAAACGCATTTAAAGTTTTGGCTACTAGTTGAACTACGTGGGTGACGTCTTTAAAAATACACTCATTACTCCAAAACTATTTACCGGAATACTTTGAAATTTTCAGACAATATTCTTAGATATACATATATACATTCAAAATCGGCAAAAAAAAAATGTCGATTACTTCAAAATTGCAACTGGATATAACCCCTTAAACCAGAAGAAATAAAAGTGTTACTATATTTATTTTATTTATGTTCACCTTTTTCTTTGTTCATTTCTAGGCGTTCCAGCCATGGCAGGAAGTGCGATAATAGGAGGCGTTCTCTTGGCTCTTATCGAAGGCGTTGGAATACTATTTACTAGAATATCTGCTGATCAGTTTAAAAATCCAGTTCCACCAACAGAAGATCCTGCGGCTCTTGGAGATGGAGGAAGTAATTTTTCGTTTGGGTCAACTTCCAATCAAAAACAATATCAATAAAATATTAAAATTTTAAGAACAGCAAAAATCTATTACATAAAATGAAAAGTATGCGCGTGGTATTATCATTTTTTGCCTTCAAGTATTACAGTACGTTTCATCACGCAATTTTAGTTGTTTAATATTGGGAGTACTACCCATAGGTAGCCCCCCATTGTACGTCGGTAAAAAAGTATGCCCAAAAAGTCACATAGCCAGCTGAGGCTTTTGAAAACAACTCTTCATCGTCTCGTTTGTCTATTTTTATTGTTCTTTGTTTGGTTCGTGCGCAAAAATTGCAAAATTCGAGCCGAACAAGGGGAAGTGTTGCTTTTTGCATTTTATTCGAAAGAAATGCAGCTGTGACGCGTCGAATGATTGTAGAAACTTATAGTAAGAGCTATATTAAGGGGGGAAATACAATTAGAAGGCCTGAAATGAGGGCTATCTTTGGGAGTGGATTGCAAGTAGGGTATTAAATGAATCTTAGCGATTCTTTTTGCATGTTATTAGGTTATTATTGAGCAATACAAATCAGTCAAGTTTTTTGAAAAATATTGTAATTAAGCCCATTTATGATCAATAATGTGGAGTCGTGTTTTTTGGAAAGGACTTTGCGCCGTGCAGTCTCCAGGTCCAGGATCGCGACTTAAACAAAAAACACCAACTGGGCTTTAAACTTAAAGGTACAGCGCACACCATGAATTATTCCATATTTGAAAAAAATTATTTTTCCATTAAAAAATTTGAAGTTAAAAAAAAATTTAAAAAAAAAGTTTTTTTTCGACTTTGTAAAAAAAACATGTTATAACAAACAAATATGAAAAACCGTTATATTCATGGTGTGGAGAATTTAATTTCAAACATAAAGCAAAAAACCGCTTACGATTAAAATAAAATCTCTGACCTGTACATTGCACGGCGACTTTGAAAACACGACTTTTCAGGAGAAGCGTTTAAAGTTTACTTTTGTGCATGTCCGCCATATGACACACCCTCACTAAATTGCTTATAACTTTGAAAATAAGTACCGGACGGCTTTATGCTTTTAAAGGCTTATTCCCAGACATATTTAGAGTACATTGAGCCAAAAAAAATTTTTTGGAAAAAAAAAATTTCTAATTGTATTTCCCCCCTTAATGAAAGAACGTGTCGGGAATGGTTTCAAAAGATTATAAATGCCAAGTATGACGTGGATGACAAGGAGCGTCCCAGACCTGTCAAAAAGTTTGAGGATGCGAAATTGGAGGCTGCAACCACGCGAAACCATCACGGGAGCCCTCTGTAGGACGCTGGATGGAAATTATTTTAAAGGATGAGATTAAATTATAAGAAAATTGGAGTTTTTCTATTTGTACACCCAATAGCTGCGCTTAACTGTATTGTGCTTTTGCTGATACGGTCCTATGCTATGTACGCTTCGTAGAAAAACAGGAAAAGTTTAAGGCAGGGTCTTTCATCGTTGCTTACGGAAGAGCAGAACACCAATACTACGTAAAGAGGACACTAACCCAGCCAGCAATTGGATGACTGTTTTTGCATTAAGCACCTTGATGAGTCTTCTTCGATTCGTTGAAATGATTAAAAAAGATTCGTTTTATGCGCGACTAGAAAATGACTCGAAAATGAGTCGCAAATGATCTTCAAATATGATTTATAAAATAGCAAAAACAAAATTGCAAAGCAATCGAAAATTGGTCATCCAGCTGATTGAAATGAGATTTTTTGTTGCTTTGCATTAACATTCGGTGAAAGAACTTGGAGCTTAGTCGCGCGCTCTCCCTTGGTTTTCTGCTCTTTGCCTTATCTCGTTGATCTTTTTCTAACTGTACTTTTCACCAAATTTGAAGTGGTTGCTGCAATGTTCTGCATTTTTAAACTCAATTTTAGTAACTTTGTGAGCTCAGTGAAATTAGGTACGGTGAAAAAAATATGTCGTCCAAAAAAATTAGAAAATTGGCAAAAAAAGAAGCCAAACAGTTACTAAGCAAAGACATTGTGTTGTCTGCATTAAAAAAAATGAATACATGGCAGATGACACAAAAGAAGAACTTGTCGCAGAAAATTTCTATGAAAATTCTAACGACCCAAGCGCGTCAAGTGAAAAATGTTCTTCTATGAGTGATTTCGATAGTGAAATTGAAAGTGAAAGTGAAAACGAAAAAATAAGTTTGTCCGAAGAAATTTCAAAATGGGCTACCCAATTTGGAGTAAGCTTTGCTGCACTTAATGCATTGCTATCAATATTACAAAAGTGCAATATAACAGTGCCAAAAGACGCTAGAACCATTTTGAAGACTCCTGGTTCTGTTACTCAGAGAACAGTTGGAGAAGGAACTTACATACACTATGGAGTAAAATGCGGACTAACGGACTTTTTGACTGTACAAGATTGGAAGTTACCGAACTTGGTTTTGGACTTCGGTATTGATGGCCTTCCCTTGTTCAAAAGCAGCTCAAAACAAGTATGGCCAATATTGGCCAGCGTTGCAGACACAACCTACGTTTTTCTTGTTGACGTGTATGAAGGAACTTCTAAGCCAAGTTGCGCGATGGAATATTTAGAAGAATTTATTTCTGAAATGACAATTGTTATGCAAGAGGGTTTTTTGTTTTCGAATAATTTGTACCAAATCTCTATTCGCTGTTTCGTAATGGATGCACCGGCAAAGTCTTATATTTTGGGAACTAAGGGACATAGTGGATACTATTCATGTGGCAGGTGTACTCAAAAAGGACAAATGGTTAAACATCGTCTTATTTTTCCACCAGAAACCACAAATTCACCTAGAACTAATTATTCCTTCAGAAATAGGACTCAGCCCGAACATCACTTAAAGCAATCTCCAAACTTTAAATATTGATATTGTATCGCAATGTTCTTTAGATTACATGCACGTTGTATGTTTAGGTGTGATGAGGACATTGTTGAATGCATGGATAAAAAAAAGGGTGCAGACTTTTCTTTAACATCGTGGAAAATCGAATCTACACGGTGCGTCCATTAAGTTTCGAGACATGAACCATATCTCAGCAAATAGTAGCGCCAGCTAGGTGTTCGAAGGTGTATTTTAAAGCTTAAACCTTTTTCTATTGACATGTCAAACTTCATTACATTTGCTTGACAAATAACAAGGATATGACAGTTTTCCCTAAACAGTTTTTGATCTGATGTTGAAATTCCAACATGGAACAAAGAGCAAAGATCATTGCAGAGAAGTCGTTGCAGCCGCCAGAAATGATCCAAACTTTCTGAAATCAATTGTTACTGGCGACGAAACATGGTGCTTTCAGTATGATCCAGAAACTAAGCGCCAAAGTTCAAAATGGAAGTCGAAAAACTCACCACAAGCCAAAAAAAGCGAAAATCTCCTTCAAAAATCAAAACAATGCTCATCACTTTCTTCCATAGTAAAGGCATTATCCACAAAGAGTTCGTTCCAACTGGTCAAACGGTCACTGGCACGTATTATCTTGAAGTTTTAAAGCATTTGATGGCCAGAATCCGTCGTACTCGACCCGAATATCGCGATCCAGAGAAATGGTGTATGTTGCACGACAATGCGCCGAGTCACAAATCAATCATTGTTCGTCAGTTTTTGGCCCGAAATCAAGTCTGTGTGTTGGACCACCCACCGTATTCACCTGATTTGGCGCCGTGTGACTTCTCCTTGTTTCCAAAGTTGAAGTTGAAGTTGAAAGGATGCTTTTTTGAAGATGTTGAGACCATTAAAACGGCTTCGACATGAGCATTGGAGGCTATTCCACAAAATGAGCTGAAGCACGCATTTGAATCACTATTGAATCGCTGTAAGAAGTGTATTAAAGCGAAGGGAGAATACTTCAAATAATAAATTTGAAAAACTTGAAATATCTTGTTTATTTTGCGATTTATGGAATCAGTCTCGAAACTTAATGGACGCACCGTGTATATCAAAAGAGTTGCATTTTAATAGAAATAACATGACAAGGGAATTTAAAAGAAAACCTCGAAGTTTAAAAGAACTAGACAGATGGAAGGCAACAGAGCTTAGACAATTTATACTTTATACTGGACCTTTTATATTAAAAGAAGTTCTTACTACAGAAAGATATGCTCACTTTTTAAAATTATCTTTAGCCTTAAGAATTCTTTTAGATAAATATGACTGTAAGCTTAACAACTCATGTGCTGAAAATCTTTTAAAATCTTTTGTGTTTGATACACCAAGGTTATATGATTTGTCCTTCATAACTTATAATTTTCATTCATTATTGCATATTCATGAAGATGCCAAGCTTTATGGATCTCTAGAAGGTATAAGCGCATTTAAATTTGAGAACCATTTAAATAAAATTAAACGAAACGTTAGGAAAGGAGATAGTGTAGCAGTCCAAATTTATAAAAGACATGTAGAAAGTAGCTATAATTTAGAGAAGGAAATAGGATATGAATTACATGCTAGTTTTGGAAAAACTAAAAAGGGAAAAATATTAAATGTAAATGTAAAAGGTGTTGTTTTCTCAGTCCGAGAACCCGATAATTTTTGTTTGGTAGGAAATAAAGTTCTTAAGATTACTGAAATAAAGAACTGTAATAATATGCCAGTTTTTTTTGGAATGGCAGTAAATAACTTGACGCAAGCTTTTCTTCAACCAATTGAGTCGAATAATTTTCAAATGTTTTGTGCGGCTGATATAACATTTGATGACAAAATTGAGTTTTCAGTAAACGATATTCTTAAAAAAATTATATGTTTGCGTAATTCTTCGACCCTTAGTTTCTTTTTTACACCCCTTGTGCACAATGTCTGAGAACTATTATTCTTCTGAAAATTTCCAATACACACAATTGAACAATTCAAGTAGAGCATAATTAAATACAATAACTTTCAATAACGATATTATTTTTAGTGCAAAATGATGCCAGATTTGACAAAATTACTAATATTTTACTGGAAATACAAAAAGAAAACCGAATGTTAAAGGCTGAAGTTGTGGGGACCTAAAGCTTTCTATTACCAAATTGGCAGAAGAAGTGATTACCGTCAAATTGGAAAATAGGAAATTTCACAGCACCAGAGGGCAACACA